TTTGTGTTAGGAACATGCATCCTGACAGTGTCAGCCACCGACTATCATTCAGGGTGATCTCATCAGTTAAGGAGAGGGCTCCACTGACTCCCACCATTCCACGTGCTCCCTGAGAGGGCCGGTGCACCTGTGGAGACTTGCCCTGCTCGGGCCTGACTGGTTTCCCTCTACTTGATGCATATCACCATCCTGGTGATTTCCTTTGCCTGTTACACTGGAATTCCTGTCTTCTCTATCTTGTATGTATTCCCATTTTTATTCCCTATTTCTGGTAGCATCCTTGCATAGGTTCCCTGTGTGTGTGAGAGGTAAAATGTTTAAGATCACATCTTAAATGCCTTTATTCTCTTCTCCCATTGTTGATATAATGGCATGCAGTTGGCTACCATTTTTATTCAGAATTTTAAAGGCCTTGCTCTGTGTGAAAAACAGATAGTTCCTTTATGGGGTGAAAAATGTGCCTGGGTGAGAGACAGAGAGAGATTGGCAGCCTTTAAGATGCAGACCAGGGACACCAGTCATTTCTCTGTCATTTCCCCTTAACAGCCAGAGCCCCTTCATGGAGGTGCCCGTGGCTTCGCCTCCTGCTCTGAAGTTCTCTGGCTGGTTAGCTGGCAGCTACCAACTGAGTTCAAGTGTGCAGGTTGGATTATTCCCACAATTTGGGACTCAGTGGCTTTGGTTTGGGGGCTGTGCTGATGAATGACCCCAGGGCCCAAGAAACCTAAGTGTGAGACAGGTGGGCCAGAGTGAAGGCACAGAAGAGGTGTGGACTCTGTCAAACCCAGAAGGGGGTGATCACTAGGGAGGCCCTGATAATCAAGCCAAGAAAAAACAGGTTTGAGGTGAAACATGGGGATCCTGGCCTGTGAACTCAGAGCATTCTGCCTGTGGACTGAACTCTGAAGAGGGCAAATAAGGTAAAGCCATATAGAAAGAGAACATGAGTTGATGGGGAGAGAAGAGAGGGAAGTTGGTGTGTACGGAGGAGCATGAGGGGACTGCAGGCAAGGAGAGGGGTTTTGGACTGAATCATCCCCCCAAAATTCATATGTTGAAGCCCTAACCCCCAATGGGACTGCATTTGAAGACAGTCTTTAAAAAGGCCCTGATCATATAGGACTGGTATCCTTGTTAGAAGACGCAACGACACCAACGATGCACATGCACAGGAAAGGCCACGGGAGACGCAGGGAGAAGACAGCAGCTCGCCAGCCACGGACAGAGACCTCTGGAGAGACCAAACCTGCCAGCAGCACCTTGATCGGACTTCCAGCTCCAGGACGGAGACAATACCTGTCATTCAAGCCACCCAGTATTTTGTTATGGCAGCCTGAGCAGACTGGTACAAACCAGCTCTGATGCCTTTGCAGGACTTGGGTCCATCTTATCATTCAGCCAACAAATATCAGAGCAGCATGCGCATGAACACACACACACACACACACAGACACACGTGGCCGAGCCCTGCCTTCATGGAGCTCACAGGCTCCAAGGACACTGGATACCTCGCGGAACCTTTCAGTATATTCCTTCTGTGATTAAAGCCCTTATGCAGTGACTGGGACAGTGATTCCTGGCCGAGACAACAGCCCAAAGGCCCTGGGCCACCTCTGGGTTTTCTGTGCAGTGGATCCTTGGGGCTTGGTTCTTTACTCCACTGGGGTGCAATATAAACCCTCCACAGGGGCTGAACCAACCCAGAGTTCTGGGTCCCTTGAGAGCCTTGGCCATAGACAATCATGTGCCCCTAAAGGGAAATCTTATTCTAAATCAGAAAATTCCAGAATCAAAAGGAAAACCTATAGCAAGAACATCTCGTTTCCCTCATTTCTCTGCAAACCCTTTTCTCTAGAAATTAAACTCCTTTGTTGAAAAACAAATTCAACTGACTACTTTCAAAGATCTCAGTGACACATCAGCCAGGCAGCATCTGATGGAGCAGGGAGAAAGGCATTCCAAAAAGCTGCAGAGTGGGAGATTCTTCTAGACCAAAGAAGTCACGCTGAGCATTGATTGGTTAAAACAGAGTTACTTCTATGGAGTAAAGGGAAGAATTCGAGCAGGGTTAGGTAACTTGTGATGAGTAAGCAAGAGTGGATTGGCTGACGTAGGCCTTCTTTTTCTGCCAGAGCCAAGCAAGGAAACTCATTCAGTTTTGGTTTGCTGACATGGGGCTTAGCGTGAGTGATTCCATGTTGGGGCTGATCTGGTTACTTTAACACCTTCAAATGGAGGTAATTTCTAAAATGAATTTTCCTTATTTTGACTCAAGATGGTAAGACTGATCTGTTTGACGTACTGTTATTAAAAGATAAACTAAGGCATATTAAAATTTCTAATTTGAGTTTATTGGAGCACAAATTGATTCAACTCAGGTAGTGCCAAACTGGAAGTGGTTAGCAGTCAGACTTTAAGAGAATAGGTAGGAAGCAAAGCAAGGAGATTATCTGATTGGCTGTAGGTTAAGTGGTTACCATATCTGAGAAATCCTAGTTGGCTAGTTGTGATCGCTTGTCCTTTGGTTTCAATTTCCCAGCCTTGGGGCATTCATAGCTGGACAGTGTTGCTTTTTTATGAATGCTGCTAAGGCATAAAGACCACCTCAGTATAATGGCCTCATTTAATTAACTTCACACAATAAAAACCTTCACCTGACTTCTGCTAGCTAGCTGAATGTTAATTAGACCTATTTGTCCAAAACAATTCTGCCCTCAAAAAGAAAATAGACCCTTTTAGAATGACAGTTTATTTTTTAACAAACTGACATCACCAAATGCTGAAAAGAATGTACAGGAACAGAAACACATTCATTGCTAGTGGGGAATGTAAAATGGTAGAGCCACTGTGGGAAAGAGTTCAACAGCATCGTATAGTTAAACAGACCCCATACAACCAAGGAATGCCACATATAGGTTTTTATCAAAGTGAACAGAAAACTTGTGCTCAAATAGCAACAACAAATAATTTGTATGGAAACATTTATATCAGCTCTGTTCACATTCACATGCGTGTGTCCTTCACGGCCCTTAACTAGCTCCTTTCTCATGGGCACAGCATGCTGCATTTTTAGGTTTCTCAAGGCCAGACATATCTGGGGTGAAGCAGTGGGCAGCTGTCCTCATAGAACAGTAGGGGAAAGGGGGAAACCTTCCCTACACCCCACCCATTTCTATAGGACAGCAGCCATCTGCTTTTTTCTTGCACACAAAGCAGAGCCCAGAGCCCACAGAAACAATATAAAGAACAATAACAGACAAGGAGGCCACATGCCCCAGCGGCCACTATGGTTTGGAACCATCCCCAGGTGGGATCAAGCTGTGACCACCAAGTAGACAGGGGGTCTTGAGATAAGGCTTGTGTCTGAGACACTTCCTCATCCACTTCCTGGAGCGCAGCTTGTATGTGCTGCCGGTGGTCTGGGATATAAACACAGCAGTCACGTGCAGTAAAGCACAGGTGCCCCCTTGTGCGGCTGTGAGTATATCCAGAGCCATTCTGTTTTGTTAAGTCACCTTCTGCATCTGGGTGACTTCATCTTGCAATAGGGCTGGCAAGGACCTTGGTACATTCAACACATGAGCAACATGCTGTACGAGGGCTTCTATTTGTAATTCTACATCTATAATGCCGACTCCTGGAAGGAAGATAGCCATGGGGTAAAACCGCCATGCTGTCCATTTGGGCGATGCCAACAGGAATATACAGCATCCCAATTATGTGCGCGCCGCAGCAAGGTTTGCAGTATCTGTCCTGATATGTGTGGGCGGCCCCACGTACAACGGCCTGTCCAATTTGCAGGGAGATAGGACCAGCCATATTCCCCACATATCCAAATGTTTTCTCCTGGCAGGGGTACAGTTGACACAGTGCGTACACACTTAGGGGTGCTGTGGGATTAATGGGCTTAATATATAAATCAAGTAATACAGAAATCAGATATATGAAGATTTGTGACTTGACTGTCTCTCCTACAACCTCTGATGTTTGGTCAAGGACAGAGTGATTAAAGCCATAAAAAGTTCCTACAGCTCGTGACCGCCCTCACATGGTTTCGGTGTCCTTACGGAGTGTCCCGCCCTTGGGTGGGACTCAAAGATAGATGATGATCATGTGCTGAACCCCCTACTCAGAATTCTTCAGATATTCATTTACTCAATAAACATGAGGAGTGCCTTCTCGGCATTACTCTTGAGCTGTTACGGCTTGAGTCCCCAGGCTGGTCCGTTCAGGTCTTCAATATCTCATTGTGTCGCCTCCTTAATCTGTGGGTCAGAGACAGGGAGGAGGCTGACAGGGTGAGATTAACACTGACGTTGGCGCACAGTTCTCTGGGTAACCAGCCAACCATGCGATTGGGTATGGAAACCTGCTATTCAATGCACAGTGGAGCTATAGTTTGCAAGGTTACATGTACACTAGACATTCATTGCCACCCACTATACACGGTAGCCTCCCCAGGCGGAGCGTGTGCTGTTGCTGGATCAACTGCTTGGTTGCGTGCATTTTGCTTCACCTTTGGCATCATTATGATCCCACGCTTGAAGGCGTCCCTACACAGACAGGTTGGTGGGAGCGATTTTCCACAGCAGTCCGGCAGTTCTATATACGCCCAGCAGTGGGAGACATTATGTATCTGGGCAAAAGTATAGGCCCACGCCACCATACTATTGCTCTCTGTCAACCTGGGCGGAAAGACAGGGCAGACACCATCAATGGCAAGTCCCAGTTCTCTGGGAGGATACAAGTGACCTTGTCATCTTGTGACAAAACAGTGGCTGCTGGGGTGGTTTCCCTGGTCTGTGATACCAGACCAGGGCATCTGAAGACACTGACAGGGCATCAGGCTCAGCCTTCAACAGAAATCGTGGTACTGGCCACACTTGCACGACCAAAGTCCCTGCCAGTATGGATACTGCCCTCGCCAGAAAGGAAGCAGTCAGCTTTTCCTATCCACTTGTAACCCATGGGTCAGCCCCTCTCCATATCTCATACAAGGCAACCCATGGATGTTCTTCAAACATGAAGGTCCGCGGCCATGTCCGCTCCTCTGTATGGCCAGGAGACAGTGTACGTGGGGCAGGAAGGAGCAATATTTCTTCCAGCAACTGTGGCTCCAACCCACTGGTGTCTTGTTTCAAACATTTCAAGACATATGGGCGAGCCACCACCAACCTCCCTATGGGGCTTTCCCCCGTTCTCCTTGGCTGCTCATTCAGCAAGCGTACTGCTACGGGCAAGTGCTTCACCCACTGCATCTATCTTAACTGTTTCAGTCCCTCTGAAACATGGGCAGCCGATGACGATGCTGGTAAAAGTGAGCACAGTGAGCACATGCTAGCACTACTTGTTTTGCGCCAGCAAATATCAGCAGAATGTGCCACCTCTGGGCAACTTTACACATGGTTCTTGGGCCTACACACCCTAGTTTCTTATGCAGCCATTGCCCCATTTCCATAAGGGGCAGTTCCTGGAGTGTACGAGCCCTGGCCAAGGCATCAGCCACATCATTCCCAGGGCTTAGTTCTGGGTGATGTCCTGACACATGATATATCAGGGCCCCTTCCTTTAACCCACGGGTCCACAGGTCCTTCCACAGTTTGTCCCCATAGTGGGCGATGGCCAATTGCCCAGGCCTGCTCTGCCCACTAAGGCAACCAGTAAGGCCCCAAAACACGGCCCAACTGCCAGTACATATGGTTATCTGACCTGATCCCCTAGTCAAACAAGCCACAGCGCCTGTAGTTCAGCCCACTGACTGGATTGCCATACTCCAGGCTCATACCAGGACTCTTCCTGTAAGGACTGAATGGCGACGGGCACCCATGTTGGTGGGTGGCCCTTTGCGGATCCATCTGTATACCAGACCTCCACTGGTGGCGTCCCTGTCCCCTCCTCATAGGGGCTTACCACTGGCACTTCCATGCCCAGTAAGGTGGGTGCGGGTTCAACCACAAAGGTTAACAGTCCCAGGACTTGCTGCAATTCCTGTGAGAGGATTTTTGGATAATCTAGCCTGTTGTTCTAAATAGGCTCCCCAGTTGGTCAGGGTGGGTGTCTAGGCAACCCCAGTCCGGGGAGCTGTGGCCCAGGCTCGCACTCACCCCTCATTCGGGAGGGCAGTAACCACCCGTACTGCTCGCACTTCCGATTCCTTCAGGAGCCAGGAAGGCTGCATACACTGCTGCCAGCTGTCCTTCCAACAGCGAATAGCAAGTCTCTGCTCCCTTCCACAGCTGAGACCGAAATCCTACTGGGACTTTGTGGGCCCCGTGCTTCTGCCATAATCCCCACCCGTACCCACCCATGCTGGCAGACACCGTCAACAGGAACAGTATGGAGGCATCAGTGACTCGCAGTGCCTGGGCCTGAGCCACCGCTTCGGGTAACACCTTTGTCTTATCTGACAGACAACACCCAAGGACTCGACAGAATAACCAGGTCTTCACTGCAGCCTATCTGTGAGCCGCAGCTTCCAGGTCTGGAAGAGAGTCAGAAGTCAACACTGTATCATCTATATAATGGAACACTTGAAACGAGGGTGGAGGGGACCAGGTGGCCAGGCCACTAGCCACCAAGCTGTGACACAAAGTAGGGCTGAGCATGTGTCCTTGTGGGAAGACAGTGACTGTCCACTGCCGGCCTTCCCACGTGACGGCAAACTGACCCTGGCTTTCCAGGGCAATGTCAGTGGAAAAGAAGGTATTAGCTAAATCTAACACAAAGTGTTAAGTCCCCAAAGTCACAGTCAGTTCATCCATCAGGTCAGTGATGTTCGGTACTGCAGCACGCAGCAGGGGAGTCACTTTGTTTAGTTCCTGATAGTCCACTGTCATTCTCCAGGTGCCGTAGACTCCTTCACAGGGCACACAGGTGAACTAAAAGGGCTGCGTGCTGGGTGGATGATGTATGCTTCTTCCAACCACCATCTGTATCCACCAGCACCAACATCCACTGTACATTCTCTGGGGACCAGTGAATGGTGACTTTAACAAATGGCCTCCAGTGTCCAATGTCTCAATATGCTGGGTACCTCTGCCCCACCCCTAGGTCAGGGAGGAAGTCAGTGCACAAGGCAGGAGTTCCTGGTCCACCACAGCGCTCGCCTCCACTCGCTTTGGGGGCAGTGGGCGACAGCGGTGGTCTGGATGCAACTGCTTCCACAGTCCCATCAACACCTCCAAAGGCTGTCCATTAAGCTTTTCATGAGTCAAACTAGCAGCTAAAAAGTGAGTCCATGCCTGGCTGTGACTCACTTTCCGCAGTCCTCCTGTGGCCTACCTCTGGCGCCGTTTTCACCGTGGTTACTTTTTCCTTGCCATGCTTCACCGCAGTAGTTCTCTTCGGTCACTTGAAGTCGCGCTACTCATACATCTCCCAAGTGAGCTGACATCTACACTGCTTTGTGTCCTCAGCGCCCTCATCTCACAGTCACAATGGCCAGGCAGGCACAGATTCACCCAAACGTTGCTTACACTGCTTGGCCAAATTCTGCAATTCCATGGCCCTGCACGCTGCCTGTCGGGTAGCTATCGGGGGGCCACCCAGCTGCCACCCTGCGGCGACAGGTTCCTGCATCTCCACATGTTGCTGCACAGCGCTAGGGGCTTTCAGCCACCCATGGCCACCTGTTGCTGTAAGTCCTCCTCCTAGTGGAGACCCTGCATTCACTGCTGCAACTCCACAGTTTTGTGAGCAGCATGGCAGGTGACCATCAGGAACATCCACACCACTTGCCCAGCCAATTCCTGGTGGGCCAGAGGGACTGGGTCTCTAGCATTTCCAGTGCCATCTGTATAGCCTCCGAGGTCCTGTGTGTGGACTCCCAATCCTCCGGTGCTGCCTAAGCAGTCAAGCATGTTGCCACCAGGTACCAAATATAGGCTGGGGGGGGGCACATCTCCTCCACCTGTCCATGTCCAGGGAAGCTCAAGAGCCATTGTTCTCATGACCACCTACCTCATCCTCACAATGCCAAGTGCCAGGGTCCAGGGGACAAGACAAAGCAAAGAAGGCAGCGGGAGTCATCATGGAGGCTGCTCAAAAGAGGTCACTTTATCCGCACAAAGCTGTACCTCTCAAACTGCTACAGTGCTAATTCATGGTTATAGAAGTATTGAAGATGCGCATAGGCGTGGCCTTCATGGCCAGGTGCTTGGCCTTCAAGGCCCTTATCCACTTCCTTTCTCATGGGTACAACACACCGCTTTTAGGCTTCTCAAGGCAAGACATATCTGGCTCCCTACAAAGCCAGACATATTTGGGGTTAAGCAACAGACAGCTGTCCTCATAGAACAGTAAGGAAACGGGGCTCAGGGGATGCCTTTCCTACAATAATTTGTAACTATGTGTGTATCCATGGGTTAACATGCATGTATTTCCTGACGCTGTGTGCTCAGCGACAACCCCAGTGGCAACGAGCACACCCTCACCCAGAACTTGGCTCCTAAATGCCATACTCCAAAGAAGGGAACTAGGTCTCCTTGAAAATGACCGATCCTAGGGCCGGGGAAGGGAAAGCATAAGCTGGGCCTAGAAACACCTTTGGTGCCAGAAGCTAAGGAGGAAGTGCTCCAGAGGGCACGTCCAGGGGACGCGGGAGCCGGTGTGGACGAGCTCCCAGTGGCCACAGCTGGGAATGTTTGAGCAATGAAATAAATAACATAGCACTGGGTGAGGACTGAGGTCAGAAAATGAATACACACGAGTCCACAGTGTTACAAATAAAAGACAATAAGTAAATACATGGGCATAATCTTCCTTACAAGGAATTCTAGGTAATACAGACATATGTATATACATATCACTAGTAGTTAATTTCTTGATTCTGGTCATTGTACCATGGGTAGGTGAGATCTTAACATTAAGGAAAACTGGTGACAGGTATATAGAACTCTCTGTACTATCTTTGCAACTATAGTATAAACCCGAAATTATTCCAAAATAACAGATTCTTATTAAAAGAAAAAGAAAGTGGAATGTACTGAAAGGGTTTTCAGACTGAGTTAAAACAGGCACATGTGGATGACTAAGGCTTATCAAAGAGTAATGAAGCAAAAACATCCAGAGATGAATATATTTTCCATATGTGCTGAGTTAGCTGTGACTACAAGCTGGGAAATGTCTTGGGAAAGGAGCATCACATGCTGACTTCAATAGCATATTTAAAAAGGAGGAACCTATTTGTCATTTATACACTATAGGAAAACTGGGGTCCCTGAAGAAAGGTCAGGCAGCTTTAAGCTGAACTATCGACTTTATGATCTATCCTTTGTAGGAGAGAAGGTAACTCTAGCACGGAAGAAACTGTATAATGTGGCACAGGGGATGAGCTCCGTGGCACTCTCCCATCTCTGTTTATCCAGACTGTAGCTTTCAGCCCTGCACTGAGGCCTCCTTGTATATCGGTTTCCAGCGTATCACCAACCATCACACAGTCTCCAGGCTGTACTCCGAGAAGATCACAGCAGTAATAAAATATGGAAGGGTCCGGTTTCTCTGCCTTCTGCTCTCCACCTACAACAACAGCATCAAAATAGGACTGGCAGGCACAAGCCTCAATCTTCTCCCTCTGGGTTTGTCTGTCTCCATTTGTTAGTAAGAGCAGGTGGACCTCCTTTCGAAGTTCAGTGAGCATGGCTTTGACATCTTCTGCTAGTGTCATATGCTGTAAACGAGTAGATTTCCACAGGAAATAACATTCCTCAGCCAACTTCCGGTTGGCTGCCCCACCCACTGTTTCCTGGATGGCTTCTTCCCAGTGAGAAGTCCTGAGCTCAGTAATGCATGTATGGGGATAAGGAAAATGTTCCTTTCTGAGTTTAATTTCAACTTTGCGACAGATGATCTCAGCCTCATCTCTGTAATGGCATTTAGACTGTAGCAGTTTGATCACCTAAATAAATGAAAAGAACTCCATTAATGCACTTCATATTTTTCACAGTTGGGCCCTGAGAAGCTGTGACCCTAGAGCAGAGAGATTCAAGCTTCACTCTTGTCTTAAGGCATCTCTATTACTAAACCACTTCTGGTGGGAATTGGTCTTACTTTTAAAGAACATCAGAGTGAAGGATCTCTCAACCTCTCTAGACAACTCATTCTTATTTTGGAACAAATCCTATAGTAAGAAGATTCTTTATTAGCAAGCTCATAAAAATCCCTCATTTGGCAGTTAAGTCTACCACCTTTCATTCTGGTCCTGAAGAAATTAAACTTGTGTTTATGTAACTCCAGGGGAAAATTTGTTCCACCCTGGGGCAAAAAACCTTGAAGCCTAAATCAAAGGGAAAAACAGTGGGAGAAACCATTTATTGCTTATAAGTTGTCTCCTCCCGCCTGCCTCTCTCCCATCCTGGAAACCGTCTCCGGTCCCCTGTGTGCCGGCCTCTCCCCCTGCCCCTTGTAGGCACCTATTGATATGGAATCCTTCTACTTCTCTCCACCCCTTGTAGATACCTGTAAATATGCACATGGACTAAGACCAGGCAAAAGATTCTGGACATATTGTGATTTTACCCACAGATTATTATTTAGACTCTTCCCAGAAATAATGCTAGGTCAATTAACCTTTTCCTACCAATATCCATTTCATGTTTTGAAGGCCTAAATTGACCACCATATGAAATGAGGCCCAACTCTGTACTTTTAGGAATGTGTATTTATTTAGCTCTGATGGAATCATGCGTGTTCTGTAATTTCAGAAGTTTAGTAAGTCAGTGTTTCTTCCAAACCTACTTTTCATATAAAAACTTCAGGTAGTGCTCCCTGTTTGTTACTGCTTCTGAACCCCTCATCAAATAAATGCTCCCTCTAGTTTCCCCACAGCTCTTTATCTTGGCCTTTATTATATTAGGTTCTTAATGATTTCACCTGTCTTCTAACATTTACTAAGCCCCTAACACTGTAAGAGTTATACCTGAAGCCCACACACATTGTTTCTAGCCTTTCCACAACTCTGAAGGGGGTTCACCTTCTGAGATGAGGAAATGGAAGTTCAGAACTGGTAAGGCACTCGCCAGGGCTGGGGCTCAACCCCATGCCTGCCTCCTTCCTAAATGCACACGCTTTCCTTTGCACACTGACAGCAGGCACCGGGACTGGGTCCCCGGTTCTCAGCACGGTGTTTGCAGGGGAAAAGGAGCATGCCGGCAGCCAGCACCATAGCTGGGCTGAGTGCATAGCAGTCACGTGAGCACTCAGGAAATGAAGGGAAGGAGCAAGGCCCTCCGCAGGGCTGCTGGGTCGGCTGCGGCAAGGGAAGTGACATTCAAGCCAGGAGTTACCCGGCCCTCAAGGTGCAGGCGGGAGGAGGACTGGATCACTCTGGACAGAAGGCTCAACATGGACAGAGCTGGGAGTTGTGTGAACTGGGAGAGGCTAAAGGCTAAGCTCCGTGAACTGGAAGGCAGGTGATGGAGTCAGCTCAGAGACGCAGCTGGAGCGGCGGTCAGGAACCAGTCTGCAAATGGCCCAGGGCCCAAGGCTGCAGAAGATGCTACCAAACCCCCTTGGCCCGCAGCAGCCCCGACAGACCAAGGGCTCCAGGGTCTAAGTCCTTGGGCTTCTCTACCTGAGGCCTTTCTCAGCCACAGGGCACCCACACATGTAGACTGGGGCCTAGTGTTGCTCTGGGTGCAGGCCTCCAACCAAGGAGGGGCGGAAATTGTGGATAAATATCACAGCTCTCTCGTCCCACGGCCGGACATATGAAGCACATTCTGTATAGTCTCCACGTTTCCGGCCGCTCCCACCAGGAACCTGCTCCTTTATGCAAAGGGTGTTCAGTCCTTCCTTCCCTGTCTTACCACCTCCCCCACAGGCCCTGCTGGGATCACCTCCCAAGCGAGCTGCCTGTACTTGAAGTCTCCACATGGGGCAATTGGGGGGCCAGTCAATCATTCCAAGACAGTTTGGGTCTTTGAGGGTAAGTGGAATGCACAGAACTGAGACGAAGACTGTCTGCTGTGGAGGCAAAGAGGCCAAACGAGGTCAAATGTGTTGCCCTAAACTACACGGGGGTACGTGGTGTGCTGCTCATCGCAGACACTCAATCCACCTGCTGAAAAGGGTAATGATAAACGGACACTTTCTTCCTTCTGAGTATGAGAGAGCTAAGAAATAATTTTCTGGCTATTTGTGCTCATTAGAAAATGTGACAGTTAAGGGAAATCTTCTTAGACCAAGAAAATATACTGGGTCTTAGAAGTTAGGTGAAGGCAAAACACTGAAAATTCTGCCTTAAAAAGTTAGCATTCAGTTAACAAATCAAGCTTTTTAGACCTCTATGGTTATTAGCAATGTCAACTGAGTTCCTCTCGAAGGTCCCTGTAAAGGTCTAGGACCCTGCTGTAACTCAATAAGAGGACATAGACGTCGTGGACTCCGCAGTGCGGGAGCTTAAACAGGAGGTGGCTCACAGCCAGTGAACAGCCACCGATAAACATTTCCTGTTCCTCCACCTGGCAATTCCTCAAGCAAATCTCAGGCTGCTCAAAAAGGTTTAGCTCACCTTAAAGGGAAGACTCTGGTAAAGGTACAACACACCACTCACAAGTTTTAAAACCATTACATCCCCTGAATTCACTTTCCTACATCTGTCACACAACTTTACAGATTCATCTGGATAAAAATACCATTTTAGTAACAACACAGGGAAAAAATATTAAACACTCATGTATATATTCATATGATATTGAAGAGAAACAACACCTAAGCTGAATCAATACTAAATGATATTAGTACAAACTGTCCTGATGCCCACAGGGAGCAAATCGGAATTTTGACTGAATTGGGGGGTGGATGGAAAGGGTCTCTAACTAGGACATGTGGTGACAATCTGCACAGGGGGAAGACAGAAAAGAATTTTGAGTAGAATAAGCCCACCAGGCACCTACAGCCCTGAAAAAAGGGGCCCTAACAGAGTGAGGGGTTTGCACCGATTTGTAGACTTCAAGTCAAATTTCCTGAACTTCAAAACTCTAAGGCTCTATCTTAACACATACAGAAAAGACACTCTATTCTACCTCTTACACTCTGCAGAATTGGAGTTAGTATCATCAGTACTACTGTTCATATAACTGTGACTTAAGACTTTTTGAGGCTAGAGTGGAAACCATATAACACTTTACAACACCATGATTAACACATGAGGTTGCTGAATATCAAATAAAGGTTAGTTAAAAATACATGATCACAGGAAAACAATTCCATGCACCATGGCATCAAAAAGAATAAAATACTTAGGAATAAACCTAACCAAGGAAGTGAAAGATCTATACCCTGAAAACTACAAGACACTCCTAAGAGAAATTAAAGAGGACACTAACAAATGGAAACTCATCCCATGCTCCTGGCTAGGAAGAATTAATATAGTCAAAATGGCCATCCTGCCCAAAGCAATCTA